GGAGATGCAGAGAAGGGCCATGAGTATATGAGCACTCTGGTCAACGCCTTAGTGGACCATCAGATAGAAACGGGCGCAAAGACATTCCCGGCACCGGCATGTGCTATCTTTGAGAGGTATATTCTACATGTGTGAGGTTATTGCAGTATATATATATATATATATATATATATGCTTACATTTATATACATACACATCTTTTCTCATATACACACGTATCTACACCAATGTGTTCCTTTCTCACACCTACGCTTCTACCACCCAGATGTGCACATGCATCGGGACTGTCACGTGGTGAGTGCCTGATAGTGCTACTGAAAGCTATTGCCATTGCCTTTCCTGATTCGTCGCGTCTGCTGTTCATGGCGCAGTACGCAGTCAACAAACTGTGCCAGCAGAACATCGACTTACAAGTGAACAAAACAGGTGGGTTTATCTGTAATAACCAGTTTGGCTGTATGTGTGTACATGTAGCATGTAGGTGTTTGTGGATGCGAAGTGTCTGTGATGATGGTAGTGGGATGAGTCCTCAGGAAAATGGCCTACACAGATAAGGGGCGAGTAGCTTTGTTCGCTGCATACCAATGTATGATCTTATATATAGGTACTGTGAATTGTTGTTCTCGAATGAATCAGTCATGGCTCAGAGTATGTATTACATGAACATGATACATATATATACATATATATATATATATATATGTGTGTGTGTGTGTGTGTGTGTATTCATTTAACTAAAGTTTATCGTATGTTTTACGTCCATACGACATATATATATATATATATATTTATATATAACAAGTGCGTGCACAACAAGGGAGACTGTATACAACTGTGTAGTGTGTATTTTCACTGACTGTTTTCTTGTTGTTCCCGTGCAAACACATACATTCCTGAGTGTTGCGTGTTACTGTATTATGAAACGAAATCAGCACATCTCAGAGATACACACTCTGCTTTAGACGTTATATTTAGACAAAAGCGTTGAACTTTGAGAGAGTTGAGATTTCATGGAATCCGCCGGGACTATATCGACACTGATTTTAAGGTTTAGCTCAAATCCTAAATCCTATACCCAGAGCCAGCAATGCAATGACAACACATACATCTGCTAATGCTACGTATGCCCATAAACATTCATGTACTGCATGAACACACATGTACACGTCCTAACCCCCCTTCTTATACTGCTGTAGAGCTGAAAGGGTATGTGCAGATGTTTGCCACCAGACTGGAGACCATGCTTGAGCGCTATACCGAACTCCGAGACAAAGAGAGCTTATCCGCAACCATCAAAAGCTACAAGGCTATCGTCTTGTTTGGTCGCCGTCTCGATGTACGTTTATGTCACACCTCAGGCGGTTGGGTAGACTGTGTATACGTTTATGTTTATGTCAATTTGGACACTGGCCTGTTCCTACGTATGATGTGAATGGTCTATATGTAGGTTGCAATACACAGTGAGCTTGTCCGATTGGATTATATGGAACTACCCATAAGTTACCTACTGAATACCTGTAGCACCACCACAGGGTCTGCCTACATAAACCCTTTAAACTTATCCTACTGCTATACTTAAATCTGCCCCTTATGTCTACCTACCTAATATCCGCACACCACCCACGCGGGTACAGTTGAAGCTCGCGTTCGGTGTTAACGAAGACGACGACTGTAATCGAATGGTGCAGAACCTAATCCAACGACACTTCGGGCGATTGTCCAAAGACATGAAACGCACCTCCAAAGCACCCACCATCCCAGTCACACACCCCAGCCTCACGGAACACCAGGAAAACGTCTACTCCGTGCTGTATTGGTGTGTTGTGTGGCCATGTATGGAATATGCTATGAATAGAATGTACCGTCAGTGCGTGTGTGGGATACCCCGTCTGATATGCCTATGTCACGGACGACGAGGGAAATATCTACCGTATGCGAGAGTGGCGTGTTGTGTGTGTGTGTGTTTGTAGAATATATATATATATATATATTAGAGTTTTTAGGGTTTTAGGGTTTAGGGTTTAGGATATATATATATATATATATATATATATATATATATATGTGTGTGTGTGTTGTGTGTGTGTGTGTA